ACACCATCACCTCACCCCCGCCACCACTCCCACCCAGGTAAGGAAGGGAATAGGGGAAAAGGATGACGATCCTGATGCTTGAATACAAGTGGATGACACCAACCCCCCACCCACTCCACCCCGAATTTGGGGAAGGCTTTCGTTCGACAAATAGCCTTTACAGGATGAGAAGAAAAATAGTTTACACTATTAACATCGTTCGGACTGTTGTACCCATCTTTACTACCATATTCACGACGTTTCGGCCGTTATACGCACTGGTTTTCTTCAGGTGATACACGTTGGAATTCCGAACCGACCCCTTTATTTTGTCCACGGGTGTAACGTGTTCTAATTCCACGCGCAATGCCTTTCCTGGCATGGCATGTGGAATTTCGTGGACTGAATAAATGGTTCAGTTCGACATTTCAACGCTTATCACCTGAAGAAGGTCGGAGCGTACAATGGCTGAAACGTCGTGAGTATGGCATTAAAGATGAAGGCCGAAGACCGAACGATGTAAATAGGGTAAATAGTTGCACTACCTCATCTCAGAAATATTGACAGATGTTGAAGAAATATAGGTTCATATATTTTAAATGCTGATTATTTGTATTCATTTGTATATGGAAAATACTTTTAGAAGTCAGTTGTATATATTTCCTTTAAAGCTATTACACTATTTGCATTATTCGGACTGTTGTCCTCATCTTTGTTGTCATATCCACAACGTTTGGGTCGTTGCACGTTCCGGCCTTCTTCAGGTGGTTGAAATTTCGAACTGAACCCTTTATTTCGTTCACCGGGTAGATTGTTCTAGTTCCACGTGCCATGCCTCTTCCTTGAATTATTCAAAATTACCATCAGAAAACAGGAACTTCTAGAGGAAGAAATACAGAAATTGAACAAAAAATGAACACTATACTTCTACAAATCACATCGCAACAAACCAGGGAACACAACTGCAACACAGAACACTGATGGGATATTTCAAAACGCAGTTTGGATAGCTAGAAAATATAAAAAAAATGCACATCCAAGAGGAAGTATACAAAACGAAGAGACAGAATCTTCGGATGTGGGACAATCTACTCACTCAAAGAAAACTAGGATTTTTCAATGCCATCAAAAACAAAGAATTCACAAAAATATACAAAACCTTTAGAGAAATGGAGGAAATATTTATTCCAAGGAAATTCCGGGAAAAAATTAATCCACAAGACACGGAAAAATAAAAACAAATAAAAAACACACTAAACCTAGCAAAAATGCAGGCCCAAAATGAAATACAAGAAGACAAAACAATACACTTTACGAAAAAATACACAGAGATTGATAATAAATTGTTAACAGAAATCAAGTAATTATGTCCCAAAGAAAATCACCAATTCCTGTCAGAATTATGGGAGTGAAAAATGCAAAGAAGCGGAGAAAAAATCTTGGAATATTCTGGTTGAAAAAATTACCAAGAAAAGAAAAATTGGATAATGAGACAGAACCAAAAAAAAAAAAAAAAAAAAAAAAAATGAATAAAATAAAAAATAAAAAATAACGATGCAAACTCACAATAAAACACAGTACTCAACATAAAACAACTACATGCAACATCAGCAAATACAGAGAAAACCACACAACAGAGTTAAGGACCCTAATACATACCAGCACACACAAACAGACTCATAAGGTAAGCACCCTAATACATTCTACCATACACAAACACATCCACAAGGTAAGAACCCTAATGCATACTACCACACACAAACACACCCACACGACAAATACAATTACGAAAATATACTTAACAGTGTACAAACCTGTACAACAAACCACTACACCATAACGACCAATAATCAGAATACAGGCACATTCACAAAACCAACACTTACAGATATCAACTAGCACAACAAACCAAACCTAACAACCATTACATATATAAAGGAATACAATCAAAATTCCCTGAAAATTTCTACACACAATCCACATACAATCCATACAAAAGCAACAAATCTAGAAATATCTGGAACAACCCATATAACAAAGTCAAACACACTTATATAGAGTCATCGAGGAGCAACAACCCCACTGGCTAGAAAATCCAAAATGTGTAGAGCGAGGTTATTTCTTAGAAAACCCGAAATATGTGGAAAAAAAACAATCATTATTTTTAACAGCCCCAATTCGAACAAGAAAACCAGTTTAGATGACACAAAACCCAAGATAATAAACCTATCGACATATACATTTACAAAGGACGAAATCAACCTATTAAAATTAGGCCTAAAATTCTGTCCTGTTCCGAAAAGCAACATAGCAGGCCGAAAAAAAGAACTTGGAGAATTTAAACGCAAATTCAAACTAAAAGAAATATATAATAATAACGGTAATATTACAGAGGAGTCATTAGTAAAAACAAAAAAACAAAAAAAAATCCAATTTATTCTCAAACAAAAATAATTATAGCAAAATTATGGAAAATAAAGCATAAGATATATTTAAAAAAATCCATATTACAACCAAAAATGTTTGCAGTTTTTCTTTTAATATATACACTTTTCTCTCGTTGTAACAACTATAACCTCTTCCCTTTTATATATATATATATATATATATATATATATATATATATATATATATATATATAAATTTAAATAAAAACAGACCACTTTAAGGTTCCATGTAATAAATTATTTCACCACAGCCCTTTTAAAGGGCTCTGGATCATCAGACTTTACTTCCAAGTAAAAAAAAAAAAAAAAGACAAATTTTTGTTGTTTTTTTTTTTTGTTGCTTGGAAATAAAGTCTGATGATCAAGGGCCCTTTAAAAGGGGTGTGGTGAAATAATTTATTACATGGAACCTTAAAGTGATCTGTTTTTATTTAAATTATTTGCTCTGGATTTACATTGAGCTCTCTGGATTTTATCCTCCTTAGGTTTACCCATACGGATTACCTAGTTTTTCATAGACTATATATATATATATATATATATATATATATATATATATGTGTGTGTGAAAATAAAAATTGCCTCTCTTGTATGGAAAATATCTCGTGATTTTGAAATTGATATAGAACGATAAAAAACGCAGTAAAACGAACATTAAAAAGGTTTTGAATTTACAGAAATACATATACACATATACAGACAATTTAATCCCGTAAAGATTCTCAGATGAGACCGAATGTACTTGAGAATATAAAAATTATTTGAAAGAAAATTTTGGTATTTTTCTTAATTAATTTTCTACAGCGGCCAAGAAATTGATTCGTGGACTATATTATATTATCTATATAGATTAAAACAAAAATAAACAGACATAGTATGTTTAAATTATTTAACCAAACCTGTTTATATATATGCATATATATATATATATATATATATATATATATATATATATATATCATGATAAGTGTTATAAATGTAGTGAAAGTGCTCTACTGTTTATCTGATAAAACATAGTTTTAAGACATTGTATATTTATGGTTTAAAGGGTTCAATATCAGCGATAGAGAATATGTAAATATAAAAGTGAATATTGAAGTCAACACTCAGAGGCGACAGATTGTTGCACGCTTGAAAGCAGATGGCCTGAAGTTTGCGTTCAAGCATGAAATAAATTGTCGTCTCTCGGTATTGACCTCAATGTTCATTCTTATATTTAAATATGTTCTATCCCTGATATTGATCACTATTAACCATAAAACATAGCATTACCTTACCTTAAAACTATTTTTTATCATTACACACGCACACATATATATATATATATATTATAATCTCTCACTTCTTCCCCAGAGAGCTCAACCGAAATAAATTTCTCAGGAGCATATATATCGTCATCCACAGACAGACTGTTTCGCTCTATCACAACTCATCAGTGTGTCTAGACGGTTGCCTCTAGCTAGGATCGAAATCCGACTGAATTGGCGTCGGGGATTATACCACTAAGCCGTTGGCGCATGGCAGGGAGCTCCCTAGAGGAAGTGTGGGTTTGTATACAGTGACTATTACGGCTAATAATGCATGACTCTTTGGTAACTCGAATTGAGTTCTCTCAGTCACTGCGTGTTTATCTAAAAATAAATACGCTTAAATTCACCTTCAACCCTGCCGTGCGCTAACGGCTTAGTGGTAGAATCCCCCCCGACTGACGCCAATTCAGTCAGGTTTCGATCCTAGCTAGAGGCAACCCGATGTCTAGCCACAATGGTGAGCTGTGATACAGCGAAACATTCTGTCTGTGGATGACAATATTTGGAGTCTTGTAAGGTTCGGTTGGGAATTTTGGGGATTTTTTTCCCAGGCTCTGTTGCTTTTTTTTATTGCTATTTGTTAAAACTTACTGACTGGTGTTATAGTCTATCTTTTTCTGTTAATTTATTTGTTTTTTTCGAGCCAAGATGACCCGAGCGAAGACTTTGCCAACGACGCTAACCCTACCTCTGTAGTTGTTGAAGTCGCTTCGTTCACTCTTGTTCTTGTAAAGGGTGACGATCTTGGCATCACTCATGTCCTAAGGTACGGCCTTTTCTTTCCAGCACTGGTTTTGGACATCGTGCAATGGGAGCAGTAGGGCAGTCTTGCAGTGCCCAATCAAGTCAAGGGGCATCCTGTCACTGCCAGTGGCCTTCCCTGAGGCCAAGCCGTCAATGACCTTGCTAAGCTCCTCTATGGTCGGTTCGGTATCGAGGTCCTTCATGCCCGGCAGGCACTCAATGGCATCAAGGGCTGCGGTCATCACAACATTCTGCCTGGAGTAGAGGCTGGAATAGTGTTCCACCTATCTGTCCATCTGTTGCCCCTTGTCTACGATGAATTCCCCAGTGATGTATTTGAGGGGAGCTGTCTTGTTCTGCACTGGTCCCATTGCCATCTTGATGGCATCGTACATCCCTTTTTATGATCCCTGTAATTGCTGCTGTCTGGATTCGCTAAGCTCTATCCAGTACTCGCATCGTCTGGCAGTTTGATGAGCTTTGCTCCTGACAGTTCGTAGGATCTGCAAGTTTCTCTTACTGGGTGACCGCTTGAACGGCGCACTTGGCCACAATGACAGGCGTCATCTCGACGTACTTTGCCTCAAAGCAACCATATGACTTTGGGGTGTTTCTCCCAAAGTTGGCCAAGGCAGTGCGGTGCATGGTGTCTCGAAATGTCGGCCGCTTCTCCGTGTCAGAGTCCCCGGTCCGCAAGGTTGCCCGCTCGTTCTCAAACTTCTTGATAAACTATTACACACATGCGGAGGTTCCCTTGTTGCTTGCTGCGGTGGAGCATCTTGGGCTGGAGCTTGATCTTGCAGCACACCAAGGAGGGGTCTGTATCTCAGTCCGCGCTGTGGTAAGAACGTGTATGAAGGACGTTCTTAATAGCGGCTCGTCTGACCAGAATGAGATCCAGCTGGTTCCAGTGCTTTGAGCGTGGATGTCTCCAGGAGACCTTGTGCTGGGGCTTGGTCCTGAAGGAGTTGGCTATGCACAAGTTGTGGTAAGTTTAGCACGAGCAGCCTCTGGCCGTTGTCGTTCATCTTGCCAACGCCAAGCTCTTCAAGACACGAAGGCCAAGAGTTATGATCAGCACCCACTCTGGCGTTGAAGTCGCCCAGGGGAACAAGTTGTTCTTTTCTGAGGATACTGCTGATGGTGGTTGCCAGATTGTTGTAAAACTCGTCTTTGGTGTCCAGTGTGGCAGAGAGTGTCGGGGCATACACGCTGACGATGGTGACAGCGCCTGTCGTGGTGTTGAGGTGGAGAGTAAGGACTCGTTCGGAGCCGTTGCTGCCTGGTTCTACCGTATTCAGCAGTTTGTTCCTCACTGCGAAGCCCACTGCGTGTTGACGTGGTTCGTCGGAGATCTTCCCCTGCCAGAAGAATGTGTAGTCCTTCTACTTCAGCGATCTAGAGTCAGCCAGACGTGGCAGATCGTGGCGGGACAACACCTTACTGGCTGGGGGATGCTCAGCTTGAGGCGGGCGGTAGCTGTCCATTGAGATCCGAAAATCTCCCCCATCGACGAGAACGACCCATGGCGCTGTGCTCTACGCCAATCGAGTGGTAGCTTATAACCGGTAACAACCTTCTCCATGTTGTGTTGACGTCAAAGGCGAAGCTGGAGTGTCCTCTCCAGATGTAGTGCAGGATGTTTTGGTGCAGTGTGGTGTGGTCGGATGCAAGCCTGGACGATGTGATATGGAGGACATGTAGCACGTCCCCCGTCTCCACGTCACCGGTGAGGCCAACGGAACCACAGGGTCGCTACAGTTTGGGACCAGTGCCGTCGCAGGAGCTGCCAGAACGGGTTGGGTACAATGGCTAACTGCCTTAGGGACTCCGTCTCCAGATTTTTCCTCGAGGTTTACTCCTGAAGCCTTTTCTATGGCTGGATATAGCTGAATGGTAGCGGAGGATTGAAATAAGGGCTTTCCTTCTCCTAGGTGAACTACCTTCTTAGGCTGTCAAGCTCCACCTACTCAATGACGGACGTAGTTTAACGTCATATCCCGAACCACCAGGTCCCCAGTTTGGGGTTAACTATTTGCCCATAGCTGTGACCCTAACAGATACTACAGTCCTGAGTCAGGGTATACCTGGGAACAACAGAAATTAAGATGTGGTTCCACGTTCCTCAAAACTTCCTGATCAGAGGTTTTGCTGCCGGATATAGTTTACGTAGGACGAATATATATATATATATATATATATATATATATATATATATATATATATATATATAGGAGGATAAGTGAAGACCAGTGTTGCCCGTCCACCTTAATAATAAGCCGAGAAACAAAACTACTATATCTACCACTGCCCCTTACTCGCATAAAAATATATATATATATATATATATATATATATATATATATATATATATATATATATATATATGTCCATGTTCAAAGTTAATATTAAGTGTTGTTTTTTATTTTTATTAATAAGTCTTACATTTATTTTTAGCCATTTTTTGAATGTAGATGATTCTATTCCAGATCATAGTTTCTATTTTAGAAAGGTTTATCGTGAGTCCTATTTTTGGAACACTTGATAGATGATGTTTTCATTTTTATGTTGAATTCAGAGTAGATACCATCCCTGCTTTCATTCGAATTCTAGATCATAGTTTCTATTTTGGAAAGGTTCATCTTGAGTCCTATTTCTTGGAACACTTGATAGAGGATGTTGAAGAAGGAAATTACTGGAAAGTAATTGAAACTCACCTGAAGCGAGCTGAATGTGTAATGCTCCTCATGCCAATGACACTTCCACCGAGCTTCACTACGGCATATCACTGAATTTGATGTGTTCCTCTCGAATTTTAAACTGGGGTCATCAGGAGAGAATGTGCGCCGTTCCGGGGCCTTCCTCTCAACGGTTTCAGTTGCACACCGGCCCCCCTCATTGATGTGAGGCCCCATTATAACGATATACAAGTGTTGTAGATAAACTAGTTCAAATGTGTAACGGCGAAATTAAATTTACGAAAATTCCAAAAAACGGCAAACCTCGCGTCCTGGGAATGCAACGTGAACCTCATTACGCATTCACGATCAGTCATGCATATTTGTAAGAGAAATTTTCTTATTCTTTGAGTATGGGTTCCATTCGAGGGACCAAAGTTTATTCTTTTTTCTTTTTGGACAAATAGGTGTTTGTACTTTGGTTGGAAGAAGTTCTTGTTAAGCAGTGTTGGTTGGACAGGGTTTAAATTTTTTATATAATTGTAAGGTCAGTTGTAAGGTTGATTCTTGATATTCTATATATAAACTCTCAACTGGGGATGGTTTTAAGGTTCCTGCAAGATTGGAGGGGATCGATAAATGAACGTAGATCAAACAATATATCTTCACTATTTGCGGAAGATTGCCAAATAGGAAATACATAAAGAAGCTCAAACGTACAGCAATTTAAATCAAGAAGTCTGAAAAATGAAAGATATAATAATGACAACACTTCGTCTGAGAGAAGAAAAATATTTGTCATTACTCGATGGAAAGAACACTCGTCTGTAGTCAAACACTGATAACGTTTTTACTTTATTCAGACTTGACTGATTCTATTTTGTTCCAGATCAAATCTCCGTTTCCATGGTTGAGTTCGAAAGATTAACGATATATACAACGGTGTGTTCAAACAAAACTTCTGTGAAAGGATCCCGCAGTGCAATAAATCTAGCGAGATGATTGGTTAATTTAGGCAAAGAATGGACGAATCGAAAGAAGGAAACAAAAACAAAAACAAAAATAAATGAATTTGGAGAAGAAAGAAAAGAAAAGAAGAAAAAGGGAATAAAGAAAGAAAAATAAAATGAAGAATTAAGGAGAGAAAGAGAAGGCGGGAAAGAGAGAGGATAAAAGAATGAAAACAAAAAAAGACGGAGAAAAAAGAAAAGGGAAAAATAAGAGAAAGATGAAAAAGAAAAGAAATAGGGAAAAATTAATAGAGAAGGAAAGTAAAAACAAGAAAATAAGAACAAAAAAAGAAAAAATGGTGGAAGCCAAAAAATAGGGAAGAAAAAATTGAAGAACAAAAGATAGGAAAATAATAAATATCAAAAAAGAATTCCACTGAAAAGACCAGCGTGTGCGTCCTGGGTAAGACGTTAAACTACGTCCAGCAGAAAGGCCACTGATCAGAAGGTTTTGAAGAGCGTGGAACACCTCTTAATTGCTGGTGTTCCCAGGTCCGTCCTGACCCGGGGTGGTAGCACCCGTTAGGTCCACAGCTATTGGCAAATAGTTAACTATTATCAGCAATACTTTTTTGAAAAAATTATTACCAGCAATACAATTTTGAAGGAAATATATTACCAGAAACAGATTTTTGAGAAAAAAAAATATTACCAGCAATAAAAAATATTGTCGGCATTAAATAACCCATTGATGTTGATAAGCCATTAAACAAAATAAACCAAACCAATCTAAACCAAAGAATACATATTCTATTCATATGAATCTATTTCGCAAATGTTGTCGGCATTAAATAACCCATTAATGTTGATATGCCGTTAAACAAAATAAACCAAACCAATCTAAACCAAAGAATACATATTCTATTCATACGAATCTATCCTAAAAATGTTGTCGGCATTAAATAAATCATTGAGGTTGATATGCCGTAAAACAAAATAAACCAAACCAATCTAAACCAAAGAATACATATTCTATTCATACGAATCTATCCTAAAAATGTTGTCGGCATTAAATAACCCATTGAGGTTGATATGCCGTTAAACAAAATAGACCAAACCAAACCAGAGTGGAGAGTGTTGTTAAATGACCGCGTTGCAAAAGAAAACACCCTTCCTTTGCGACCCTCTCAGCTAGGGTCAGGTAACCACAGTAACAACAGACAGGAACAATAATATTTCGCCGTCATCCAAAAAAAAAAAAAAAAATGACTATGAATATAAGGTGAAGGGATTTTTATAACAGACCTCTGCTCTCCCCTCTTCCTCCAACCCAAATGGAAGTCTACTAAAGAAGAGGAGAACAAGGCGTTTGCTCCTTAGGACTGACTCCCAGGTCGACATCGCCGCTTCACTCACGCTAATTCTTTCCTTCATTATTTCCGACGGAAAAGAAAGAAACAAAGAAACGTAGATCGAAAGAAAACGAAGGAAAACAAACAAAGAAAAAGAAGGGAAGAAAAGAAAAGAAAAGAAAGATAAAATAATAAAAAAATAACCTAAGGAAAGAAACCGAAAAAAGCAAAGAAAGAAAAAAAGAAAGAAAAACGGCATATAAAATATAAAAAAAAAAAATCATTCATTTCGTTCATTTCTTCCGTTAGTGCATTTTGCGCCGCTGTAGTCAGCACTTCCCTTATTTCTGTTGTAATTGTTGTTCATGGAGGCACTCAAGGTAAAATTGTGCAATGGCGTGTCGGTTCCTTTTCAACCGGAAATGCTGAGGTTGCCCCATCCATCTTACACCTACTGTTAGAGCAGTTAACCCCTGATGTGCAGATCCTACGCCCAGGGTGGCACATTGAATAGAAAAGATGATAAAACATAGTAAAATAAAAAATAGAGAAAAAAAAAGAAAGAAAAATTGACTGCATCCGAAGTACCTTATCATTAGCAAACCATTCTCAAAAATTGCGCTTGTGGCCTTGTGCCAATCTATGCTTCTTCATCGTCTATATAC